GCAAGGCGGGGATGTCGCGAGTGCCGCTTCCACTACACTCTCGGTCGCAGGCGCTCATTCCTCTCTTATCTTTTCCTCTTGCTCATTGTCATACCCCTTGGCAACACGCATTTTTTCTCAGTGTATACACATGCATGTTTCCAATCACAATCTTGCCGTCACTTGTCGCTGTCCTATGCTCGTCTTGATCTATTCTCGGCCGTTGGGTTCGTATCACTGGAATCCAGCCTACAAAGTACTCGAAATGTCATGTTAGTGTGATACATCAATCGACCGTCGTCTCGGGCTCCGGCTCCATGCTTGCACATAAAATGTTGGACGCAGGCTAGCGAGGCATACAAGGTTCCAGACGAGCTCAGGTGACCAGAGAATACAAAAAGAGAGCTGACGGATGGAAGGCTGAACCAAAGCAGACATGCTCATAGACGATACGGCTCCACGCCGTCAGTTCCGAGTGCTCCCCGCAGCGAGGCAAACGCTACCGCTGGCATCATCGTTGCTTGAGAGCATTCTCGACCCTTGTTGCGTCTCGGCGTGTTGTGCGAGATGGTTCGACTCAGGACATAGCTGCTGGAATGGTAACGCAAGCCGGCAAACTTGCCCGTGTCAAGCCTGGAGAGGCGGGATATGTGTGGTGTGTGCCCAGCGACTTATGACGCGCATCATCCTGTCTCCACGATTGCGGGGAGGCTACAACCATCCAGGCTGCCAAGTGTTGTATACGATCATTCCCCCATTCACTCATCATGGTTGAGCGTGGTCCCTTGTATACGGATTGCTCGCTCGTGTAGATCACAAGAAATTTCAGCAGGGCGCGCAAGCAGAGTCATCCTTTTGACCCTGGGACCCTGGGGTTACCCCTCGACCGGGTGTCCATCTCGAGCCAGACTCCCGCCGTGCTAGACTTCTCATCGCTTTTCCGTCAAGCTGAGAGAACAGACCGCGGCTTTTGGCAGTCGAGAAATCTCTCCTGTCTCCCGTGGTCACGAAAGGAACAGCCATGGGGGTAATGGATCGTACCGGGAGTTGCTCGAACTCAGAGTCGCAGCCTGGCTCAAGTTCACATACACCTCCATCTCCGCCCATCAACTACGTCCTAAATGCGTCCGAAGTCCGCGCTATCCAGCGCCAGCTTGCGAGCTTCGGGCTGCGGAGCATGCCTTCACGACCGATCACGCCTGCTCCATCGGTGCCTACGACGCCGACGACGATGATCAGCCCGAGCGTATATGCCAGCTGGCTCGACGATGAGTACCTCCCGCTTACCAGCCGCAAGACGAGCAGAGCTTTCTTGTTTGGTACTGTTGCGAACGCTACGCGTGAAGGCCTTCTCCCAGCCCTGATGGGGAAGAAGAGGTGCGCTTTCCCTACACAGCAGTAAAACATCCTTTCAGCATACTGACCAGGATTATGCGGTCTCTCCCAGCGTTCGCGAGGCGCTTCACTCTTTCATCTCAAAAGCCTCGCTCAAGGCGGGAGCAGGCTTGGCTCTCTACGTTGCCATTTACCGAACCATCTTGCAGGTACTGCTCATTGTTCGCGCTAAGACGTTGATTCCAAAGCTGCAGGCCTGGGCGCAATCCTTGCGATCCAAATATGCATCCGCGGCAGCATCTCGTGCTGGCACTTCTAAACGCATCATCGTCCCCGAAGAGCCATCCCATCGCTTCCGCCTCCAGCGATGGGTCATCAATATTCTCCAGTCACACTCCTTGATGCCATTACTGGCAGCCAATGCATCTATTCCAGCACTGCTCTTGGTGTCCAGCGCGTTAAGGAGCTACATTGCCTTGGATATCCTCGTCAAAGCGCTCCATGCCATATATACCGAAGCCAGAAAGAATGAGTCTAGACTCGTTTCATGGGTACCAGAGTGGATGGGAGGAGGCTTGCTTTGCGCAGTAGCAAACGGACAGCTGCTCTGGGCTTTCCTCTTCGAACCTCAATCCTTCCCGTCGAGCTATGGCAACCTCATCTTGGCGGTGAGTCTCAGTGGAAGCAAGCAGATGAAGAATGTGGGAAGCTGACTTGATGCCGCGGGCTGCATGCACACACTAGCGCTCGAAGGCATACATTCCAACTCGACCCTCACGATTGCCTGCCAATGTACCATGGCCGATGCGGCGGCAAATCGCAGACACTATCGCCCAACTCTCAACGCCCAGCAAGACCAAGGCCGCATATCCGACCTTCTCATCGCCACTGCTTGCTACGCTTAATCCGTCTCTGCATCCCATATCCGAGTACAGCATCATCAACCCCATTCTGGACTATGCGCCTGCCCACCCAGGGCACACGGAGCTTCTCTGCGCAATACTTCATCCCACTGAGCCGAGCTGCCGCAAGAACTTTTTGCAGTTCTTCAAGCAGGAGTGGATCGCTAGCGCTCGCTTCGTCGCCGCTTTCGCCCTGTTGGCACAGGTCTTCTTTTTTAAGAAAGCGATCAGAGATCCGGAGATGGCTGTCTTCAAATTCATCATGACGGTGGCCCAGGGCGCCACATTGATCAGCGGATCCATCGGTTCGGCTTGGGCGTTCACTTGCGTCTTCCAGCGCTATCTTCCCAAGACGTTTTTGCCACGCTCGCGCTACTTCCTGAACGGTGCTCTCGCCTCCATCTTCACCCTGGCAGTACCAGCATCTCGACGCACTAAGCTGGGGCTGTACCTCGCCAAGTTGAGCGCACGCAGCTCGTGGAACATCCTCGAACGTCGCAAGACCGCCAAAAGCGTGCGCAACGGCGAAATGATCCTCCTCGCAATTGGCATGTCCATCCTCTCGGCACTGTACGAGGAAAGACCCAAGGCGCTCGGCCGGAGCACCCGCACTGCGTTCCGTTGGCTCATCGGTGCGAGGCAGGGCGGTGTCGGCGCAGTCACCGTCGGTCAGCAGACTCAGGGCGAGGTGGACAACAGCTACTTTTATGCCAAGGAGAAGCTCAAGCGCCTGAGCAGCATTACACCGACTGGCATACGCGATGCCGGCGACGAAGACACATCGGACGACGATGAATATGGCAAATCCAAGGCGAAGGGCAAAGCGCATTTTGACTGAGAGGTTGAATCAAATGAGAGAGGACTCAGAACTATACTAATAGCCGATAGCGACAGCAGTCAGACACACTCGAGAAGCACCGTGGTGCACCTTCCGTCATGACGTCCATTTCATCGAGCATGGAACACGAGCCGGGATGTACAATCAGCAGTCTGTGATATATTAAGCTAGTAAAAATGTTTACATCAACGTTGCTTCACGAAGGCTTTTTAAAGGTCGCCCGGCAAGGCCTTGCGCTAGCGAGCGGATAAATTGATATAGAATTGCCAGCCACAGCAGGATCAAATACCAAAGTGGGCTAGGGCGGCATCTTAAGACACGTTGCAACACTTGTCGTGAGAGTGAGGCAAGACCGAGATAGGCTGCACTTGCCAGTGCCCTAGGACACCAACACCGAGCCTACCGTCGATGTTCGTCCTTGCGCCATCCTCTGTCTGTATGTACTCTGCGTTGACTCGCTGCTTCAGTCCGAAGCGGTACGTCAAGTCGCAGATGACCGCATGTAGGCGCTTGGTCAGCAGCCACGCACCAGGCAATCTCTTATGCTTCAACTTCCGCTGGAAATAGCCTGTGTCTTTCTCGACGATCTTTGGCAAATTATCGCGAAGTGACATCGCCCTCTTTGCATCGCGCACGAAAGCCAGCGCATCATTCTTGCTCGCTTCCACCGTGACGGTTGTCAAAAACTCGTGGCTGAGCTTGTCTGCTGCTCAATGCTTATCCGGTGTTGCTGAGATTTGACGCCGGCTTGCGCGGCACTTGCATATGCGCGAGTTTCCACTGTGGAAAGCTGTACGGCGACACCATTGCATTGGATACCACCGGGTACGAAGAGAGTGCTGCTCTCGACCACCGTGCACTCTTTGGGGTCTCGCGTCCGCGGAGGATTTGAGTCGTTGGCGGCCACCAATATTGCTTTTCTAATGTCATGTGCGGGGACACACGGTCCACTCCATGTCAACTTTGACCCCCCAAGACTGCAAGGGAGGTTCTCTTGCTGCCTCGCTCGGTTGCAGTGAACAGCAGTTTGAAATTGGTTTTTTGGCCGAATCGGAGCCGCTCGTGAACTGCAACGAGTCAATGAAGACGTCAATCCTTGACTTACATTCACAATCGCTTAGTGGAGCCAGCAGCACAAAACATAGAAAGCAGCCCCTCTCCTTGTTCCTCGAACATCAAAATCGGCTCATAAATGCTCAAGAGTTGGTGGGCGTCCTGGAAGAAACTGATGGTGGCTTGCTCGGCGATACTCAGTCCCAACTTTGATCTCAGGGGTTGTTCAAGCATGGCATCGTGATCTGTCCTTCCGTCAGGTTTGCCTCCTGCGTCAAACCCTTGCCCCAATGCCCGCCGGGAACAGGTCAATCACGCAATACACAAAAATCAAAGATACACCTAAAATGCCATAATCGATTTTGAATGCATGCTTGTGTACAAGTGCAGCCGCTGCATGAGGTGGCTGTGAAGATGGTGGGGGAAGGAGCAAAAGGGGAAGGATGCGCTCAGGCGGAGGCGCCCTGGAAAGCCTGGATCTTCTCCGCGATCTTGGCTTTGCGCTGTTCGTAAGTAAGCTTGTTGAAGCGGTACTTCTTGCTCTCGGATGCCCAGCGTGCGGCGTCCTTCTCCGAGGGCTGGAATGATGGGTCCTCACGGATCTTCTCGTAAGCATTCTCGTACATCTCCTCGATCTGGTCGCTGCTGATGTCGTCAGCGAGGTAGCGAGCAAAGTGCTTCTTGAAGCGCTCGTCATCCTCCTCCTCGAGCGACTCCATGAATTCAGCAACGTGGCCGCCAAAGATGTAGTTGCGCAAAACGTCGACATCGAGCTCCTTGGCCTCTGCGTCGTAGCCAGGGAAACGCTTCTCCGAGTGCGGGATGAAGATACCGCCGTCCGAGGCACCCTTCATGGCGGCGAAGACACGCGAACCGGTTGAAGTGCGCTTAAGACCGACGTCAAGGAAGCACTTGAATGGCCGTGGCTCATCCTCGCCCTCGAGAGCCTCCTGCTCCTTGATTTCTCCATCCGGCTCGGTGACACCCTCGTACTTGTCAGCAAGACCGAGGATGTTCAGGGCACGCCTGGCGCAAAGGAGGCCAGTGGCATATGCGGCAGTCCAGTTCGAAAGACCATGGTTGATGCCGAAACGCGGAAGCTCGCGCGAAGTGGCCTGGGTGAGGACAAAGTCGCCCTGGATCTTAGCGTGAATGATCTGGACGGTAATGTAGCGGTTGGAGAAGCGAACGACCAGACGGTACTTGGGTGCGTTGTACTTGTTCTTGGCCTGCGCAACCAGAGCGCGGCGCGCCTGGTAGTCAGTCCTGCCCTCACGCCTGCGGCGGTACTTGACCTGGTAGCGGCTAAAGTAGGCGCCAGTCTTGACTTGCTTGACGAACGGCATTTTGGTGGTTCTGACAGCAAGGTATGCAAAGCTTCAGTCAGTACTTAGTCTAATCAGAGAATATTCAATGCGCGAAGACGATCTTCTTTAATATCTTGCTCCATCCAACTTGGTATATTTCGAAGGTTCACTGGGCTTACTTTCTCCACCTGTGCGCGTAAGTCCAACAGGCAGCCCTGCATCATGCTTTGCAGAGTGTGAAGAGCAAATCCATCTTCCTTGCCTTCCTTCCCAGCTTGCAGCCCCACCAATCGTGGCCCAGCATTCCTCCTCCCCAAAGGCATGCCCCCGGTCCTCGCCGACTCCTTCCTCCAAATACTCTGCGTGAGAGGGTGGCGCACAAGTCGCTCTGCATGGAACACTAACAGTATCTGTAGTGGCAGAAATGTTCAATACTCACTGTCGGGGTGTTCACCTTGGGATGAGGTTGATCCTGGTATCCTGACCTGAGTGCTATGAAGCAAAGGTAACAACCTACCAAAGATGTTTCGTGAGGACTTGCTGATGCTGGCTGGAGCTGCTTCTCGCAGTGCCCCCAAGTTCCAGCAAGGGCGGCCACAACGGTGCGTCGTGGGGCGGAACATGATTGAGCTGTGGTGTTGCCGCAGCAGCTGCTGCGCCCACCTCTTGCCTAGTGCCCCCACCCAGCACCGCTCTGAAGCATTCCGCCTTGTCTCGCCATCTCTGACGCACCGCGCAACCGCTGCTCAGCGAAAGATTCGGGGCAGCAGCCATTCAAGGTCAACTTCATCTGTAGCTACAGCCTCCTACTGTTCCCTCACCTTCACCGGATTCCAGCCTAAGCAAGAGGCAACAGCCAAGGTCAACATTTGTCGTGAGTATGCAGCTGCTGGAAGGATGCTGCACGAGAGGTCGTTGTCCTGGATGCTACTTTCTGGAAATGCTTGTGGTGGAGAAGGACCTCAATTTGTCACGTTGGCAGCTGGACCGGGAGGAGCAAAGGTGTTTCCCCGTAGAAGCGAAATTGATAGTAGGGAGCACGAAACGCGAGCGGGCAGACAAATTGGACAAGTACTAGATGTCTGAGTCGAGGTTAAAGAGCTTGCGCGGATCCCAGCTTTCAGGATGTAAGGATGTGGCGTGATAGGAAGGGCTATGCCTTCGCTTGTGCATAGACATAGGCTCGGGGAAGGGATCATGGAAGTAGGAATGGCAACTGGAGAGGTTATGGTTGACCTTGCGCAGCTCAACTCAGTAAGCCAACCTCATCATCTACTACCCTGTCAAAGTTGCAAAGCAAGCGCATCCTCACACAACGGCTTGGCAGCCTTTGCATATCAACACTGCTCGGCCAACCATGCTGACACAACTTTCACTGCGCTGCACAGAAAATGGGTGCCTACAAATATGTTGAGGAGCTCTACAAGAAGAAGCAGTCCGATGTGCTGCGCTTCCTCATGCGCGTCCGCTGCTGGGAGTACCGTCAGCTGAATGTGATCCACCGTGCCTCGCGCCCTTCGCGTCCGGACAAGGCACGCCGTCTGGGTTACAAGGCGAAGCAGGGCTACGTCGTCTACCGCGTCCGTGTTCGCCGCGGTAACAGGAAGAAGCCTGTGCCCAAGGGTGCCACTTTCGGCAAGCCAGTTCGCCAGGGTGTCAACCACCTCAAGTACCAGCGAAGCTTGAAGAGCACCGCAGAGGAGCGTGTGGGCCGGAAGTGCGGCAACCTGCGGGTGCTCAACTCGTACTGGATCAACCAGGACGGTGTTTACAAGTACTTCGAGGTCATCTGGTGAGCAGCCACCCTCTTCGGAATGATCACTCCGCTCGAGCGCATCAAGCTGACTATGCACTCTTACACCTTACTTTCTTTAGCGTCGACCCATCGCACAAGGCAATCCGCAAGGACGCGCGCATCAACTGGATCGTCGGCCAGAAGCACCGCGAGGCACGCGGTCTCACTGCCACCGGCAAGAAGTCGCGTGGTCTCAACAAGGGCCATCGTTACAACCACACCCAGCACGGCGGCAAGAACTCCACCATCAAGAAGCGAGACACGCTGCAGCTCCGCCGATACAGGTAAATCGCCTGTTAGGTTTGAGTTGCTGCCGCAGCTGCTGCTTTCCCTTGTTCTACTCGCCCTCGCCTTCCTTCTTCCCCACACACCCCACGCGCATCGCTATGCACTTGTACTTTTTCATGACACATGAAGCAAAAGAGGTCCTCAAGTCGAATGCAGCTCGTTCATGTAACGGCCTATTGTATGCTTGCTCCCTCTACGGATTGAATGTGTCTTTGGGGTTTCCGGTGGACTGTTGACAGGTCTCGATAGTGAAAACATGAAAAATGTCTCTTCACAGCTTCGAAGCCGGCGCATTCCACTCTTCGGGGACGTCCGTCGCGCCTATCGCTTTCTGTCTGTACAGCTTCTCAATCTCTTGGTCGCTGGCGCCGATCCACTCGCGGAGGATGTCGAACGTGTGTTCGCCTGAATTCATCAGCAGCTGCACGTCCTCGTCCTCGCCACCTTGCCCACTGGCGGAGCGTGCAAGTGCCTCGGCGGAGCCAGGCGCGATGCGCGCGGGAGTGCCTCGCAGCGCTGGTGCCGGTGACGGTGGGATAGGGTTGTGCTCGCCACTTTGGACGAGCGTGGCGTGCGCGGAGGGTAAGTAAGGCAGAATACCACCGCCCAGCGTCACTCCTGCCTCCCTTCCGCTTCCTGCCGGTAGCAGCGCCTCGTCGCGGTCGAGCACAGGTACGCAGCACGCGTCGGTGCCCAAGAAGGTTTCAGTCCACGCTGCGCGCGTGCGCTGTGCGAAGATGGTGGTAAAGTATATGCGCAAGTTCGGCCACTCTGAGCGCGAGTGCTGCTCGGCGGGCGATGGATGTGGCGGGCAGCTTTCTGGGGCGCTAGGGACAGATGCGCGGAGGAGACGTAGCAGCTCGGCGTAGAATTGAGGCTCGATTGCTCCGCTGGGAAGGACGGTGGAGGGTGTAGATCAGCTGAGAGCCGCTCTGGATTGCTCAGGTGTTCTTGCACTTACACGCTCATCCACTTGTCGTCCCTGGTCTTGTAGACGCCATACCACGGCGCAGCGCCATCGAGCACTCCCGTTCCCCGGCTCTGCTTGTCGCCTTTCCCAAACATGGCCCCCCACTGCGGATGCACAATGTAGCTCATGAGCACCTGGAAGGTCGCGACGTATCGCGCACCTGTGACCATGTCTGCCTCGACAACCTGGCCCTTGCTGGTCTGTGCGCGCGAGATGAGCGCGAGGAGGATCCCGACGAGGCAAATGAGTGATCCGCCGGCAAAGTCGGCAAGGAGGTTCGCCGGGAAGGATGGTGGTGGATTCGGATGCGATGGTGAGGCAGACTGATTGGAGAGCATGGAGAGCACTCCGGAAAGTGCAATGTAATTGATATCATGTCCGGCCATATTGGCGTACGGTCCTTGTCGCTGGAAACCTGTTAGCCGCGCATAGACGAGGCGGGGATTCGCCGAAAGCCCTTCACCACCGCCCTTACCCTCGACGACATGCTCCGGACCGAGGCCGAGGCGCTCCATGACACCGGGCCTGAACGGCTCAATTAGCACGTCGGCTTCTCGGATGAGCCGCCGCAGCGTCTTGAGCCCCGTGGGCGACTTGGGATCAACGGCGATTGAGCGCTTGCCGCGTGTCAGCGTGTCAGTATTGATGCCCGCGCCGACTTTGTCGATGCGGATCACATCAGCGCCAAAGTCGGCAAGAATGAGACCGACAAACGGACCTGGTGCAAGACCTGCGAATTCGACAACTTTCAGGCCCCTCAGTGGAGGAGCCTCTGCTGACGGCGATGATGCGGAGTCGGACTTCATTGACGATATGAGCTGTAGCAAGGAGCTTAACTCGTCTCTTTCTGGCTGGCCTTGCGCAGGATAAAAGGCGGTTCCTGCATGATTTCGCCGTCTATGAAGAAGGATGCTTCCTGTGTGCGCCGGCGTCTCGTTTGGTGGGCCATGCAGCAACGCAAGCTCTTGTTCCGGGGAAGTAGCGTTGACCAACTTTGTGTTCTGGTACAGATGAGTACTGTAAATGGTGAGTAGTCCCGCCGCCGTCATCTCTTCGGGTCTCGGCACGTTGGACAACCGACATCAGGGAAACTCCGAAAAGGTTGAGACGCCTCAGTGCCAATTTCTCCTGTTTGTTTTACAGCAATGGTGGCGAATAGGGTTGTGAGGTTGTAGTTGTGCCTCATCCTTACCACTTCCGTCTTTGTCTTGGGCTCCGGGATGCTGATTGTGTCAAGTTGCGTGCGGTGTGCTGATTCAGTCTGCAATCTGCTTTACGATTCATCCATTGCACCCTTGTGTGAATTCTTCGAGCAGGAGAGTAAAGGCTTGAAGACGTAAAAAAAATGGGTAGCGGCTGCATGCGCGGAGCTCGCCGCAGGAGGAGAGGACCGCAGACTTCTTTTCTAGCGATCAGAGCGGCCCGCACCCCGACAGAAGACGTGCGCAAGGAGGCGCTGTTGAAGGGGACGCTCTTCCCGCAGACGGCCTTGGCGCAGCGCAGCGATACAGATATCGTACAATCTGGTGTGACGTCCTGCAGTCGTTTACTTGTCCGAAGAGTTCAGACCCCCCGCTGCTGGTGTCGAGGAATATATTCCTCCTTTCGATACACTTGTCCGCGTGTGATTGCCAGTTGCTTGTGTCCCCACTCAAGCGTACCCCAAGATAGTTAGGCTTCCTGCCTCACGTGCATCGTTCTGTGTGTTGGCCCTGAACTGGCCGGGGAGCAAGAGTTGCGTCGTTTCTGAGATAGAGCTGTGCCCAGAGGTGGCCTCCCACTCATGCCGCCTCTACACAGTACACAGTGTCTGCAGCCTGGCGGCATTGGTGGAAGTCATGAGGATGGAGGCGAATCTCCCGCCCTCGGGGCGAGATAAATGCGGGGCCTGGTCCTCAGAGGCGTCAAGATGCTCGCTCGATCGATGGCGCTTGCAGAGTCGATTGATCCAACGTTCAGGGGTCCCCGCGGCCGACCACATCATCGGAAGAGTCAAAACACAGGCAGCGCAGCAGCAACTGGAGTTGATGTAGGTTACAGCTTCACATCTAATTCTAAACCCTTGAAAATGTCGGGAGCCACTTGGACTATATTTGGCTTGACAACCTGTGGAGAAGGAGGCCCAGCTCATGTTCAGGCTGGGCGGCCACGGTGATCCGCTGAACTTTCTCTTTTATCAGGGGCACCTTCGCGAAGCGCTGTAATGAGACCGAATCATTGTCTAATCCCTCATTCTCTATGTCCCATATCACAACGTTCAAAGGCGCCCCATTGCAAGTGCAGGGCCATGCGGCGTTGTCTGGCCAATCCGCTGTTCGTGCCGAACTTTCTTGGAGTCGCTTTCGGCCTGCATCTGGGCCAGCCATCGCTTCCCTGCCTTCAACAGTTGCTGCTGAAGGGGGGTGAGGCATAGGTAACATTATTCTTTGGCTGGCAAACATTATGGGGGAGAGACGGCAAAGCAAGCCTCTATTCCGGTCGCACGCATGGCGCTACGCTATTTCGCTCATCAGCACCACATTTTACTACCTCGCAATTCGCACATCTAGACTGAAGCCAGGAACGCACCCAAATCTTTTTCGGTGCATTTTCCCAGTAGGCCTTTGTGGGCTGTCCATTCCACGGTGCAGCGCATGGGCTTGTAGTTGGAATCTAACTCGAGAATTACTCATCACTCACTACTCGCTTCTGTGGCATTGCGATCGCCCATCAAGTGTCAATGAAGGAAAGAGGGAAACATTGAGGCTGGCCTACGTGGATCTGAATCCATTCTGCCGCTCTAGAGACAGCCTGCCAACGTCAGAGAATAAGGTGTCAAGGTCACTTCCTCTCATGGCCTGCCGACCATGTGGTCCAGGCACTTCCTCTTCCCGACCGTGGGCGCTCGTCCTACCGTGGTGCCCTGGAACCGCCGCCCGTCGTCTTCCTCGTAGCCCTCGCCACGATGATATGCAACGGCTGCGCCACGCTCGCTGGGTGCATCATCTAACCACTTCAGTGTCCTCGACAGCCAATGTCAGAACAACAGAAGCAGCGGAGCTGGAACGGCGGTTTGGTGGGCCCAAACCAGGTGACACGATCGTCCTGGCCATGTCCGGAGGTGTGGATTCCTCGCTTTGCGCATCTCTCCTACATCGGGCTGGCCGCAGCTCTGCCTCTACCATCTCCGGCGCAACATACGATTTACGTGCTGTCTACATGCGCAATTGGTCGACGCTGGACGAGAGCTCCTCCTTCGCACCAGGGAGCGGTGGCGCCTCTGGCTGTGAATGGCAACACGAATGGGCAGACGTCCAGCGTGTCTGCGATCATCTTGGTGGTATACCCCTGCAGATGATCGATCTCAGCGCAGAGTACTGGACGAGCGTGTTCGAGCCTGCACTCGATGCGTGGAGCGAAGGGCAGACACCGAACCCAGACGTCAGCTGCAATCGCGAGATCAAGTTCGGCGCATTGGTCAAGCGCCTGTTTGAAGATGAAGACGCAGACAGCGAGCTAAAGTGCAAGGCGAAGAAGGGCAAAGCTTGGCTTGCCACCGGGCATTATGCAGGGATTCGCTGGGAGAGGGATGCAGATGGAAGACCACACCCGCGTCTCGTAAGGTGCAAGGATGCCAACAAGGATCAGACGTACTACCTCAGCAGTGTTCCAGAATCGGCTCTCAGGCTGGCGAGTATACGGAACGGTTCGGTGTACTTTCGCAGAGTCTCTGACACACTCTCATCGTGGGTTCTTCCAGGCACATTTCCCTCTGATCGACCTCCTCAAGTTACAAGTGAAGGAGCTCGCACGCGAGCATGGCCTCCCGACTGCGGATAGACCAGAGAGCATGGGCCTCTGTTTCGTCGGCGAGCGCAAAGCAGGCCCTGTCACCGGAGATCCTCCCCGAATTCCCAATTTTTCTCCCTTGACGCCAGGGCCTAGTAGTCAATCTCACCCTGCCCACGCGAGGGAGAGGAGGAATCAGCAACTGTCGACAGCACCGCGTGGCTTCGGTGCTTTCATAGCATCTTATCTTGCCTCTCCTCCCTCTTCGTCATCTGATTCGACTTCTCCCCCTGCAGCCCATTCTAGCACTTCTTCGCACGGACCCATCCTCTCCTTTTTGACCGGCGAGCTTCTGGGCCACCACGCGGGCCTCCACACGTTTACAATAGGCCAGAACGCACGAATCGCAGGGAGCAAATCGAAGATGTTCGTTGCACGTAAAGACACGGGTAGCAACAGCGTCTACGTTGTCCCCGGGCGCACGCACGATGCTCTGCTCGCGGAAAGCTGCACCGTGGGCCCCGGTGGCTTCAGCTGGATCGAAGGAAGACCGCCGAGAGTGCTGCTTGAACGGGACACAGTGGCGGAAGATGATTATGCTGCTCAAGGAGAAAACTGCAACAACGCACTACATGGCGTGCTGCATGCTTTTGCGCAAATTCGGCATCGTCAGAAGCCTGTTCCGTGCCGTGTCCGTCTTCTCCCTGCGCCGTCTGCTTCGTCCCCGTCTGCGAGCGTACAGGTGACGTTCGTTGCAGATGCTTCCGCTTCCTCTGCGTTGCCTTCGCAGCAGCAGCAGCCTGTCGTCGATGGCGTTGCACCGGGCCAAGTCGTTGCTCTGTGGGATAGTGGCGAGGAAGGTGGCGTCTGTCTCGGTTCGGGCGTCATTGATGCCGTTTGGACTGTTTGGGACCGAGTGCAGAGGGAAAGGGAGAGTGCAGGCGAAGGCGAAGAAATGCAAGGAGCATGGCTTGAAAGACAGCAATAACAGGTTGCGTTTTCTCTTTATGTTTTCATTCCACCAATTACATTAAATTAGCAAAGCACGATATTCTTTCTGCCTCTCTGCCTTCGTTCTGAGCATTGCTTGCATTCGAGTACAGGTCAACATGCGATTCGTGTCACTGCGTTTCAGCCCCAGTCCATTGTGAAGAGTTGCTCCTTGCTGCTTCGGAGCCTTGTGAAATCTCTGTTTCAGACAAGGTCCATCTATATATCCAAATTATCGCTGCTGGAGTGGAAACGCGCTGCACAGCAGGCGGCGACTGCCAAAGGTGACTGGGGACGGTCACAACTTGCTCTTGTTCCTCTCGACCAAGTCGATGTGCGCAAGCGTCTTGGCTGCCTTCCAGAACTGAATGGCGTTGATGAGCTGCTTCACGGCGCAGATCGGGAACGTGACGGCGCCGAGGAGCTGCGGCCATGTGAGGTCGCGGACGAGCGTGAGGAGGCGCGCGTGCGTGCTGAGCGGATGCGCCAGCGCAGACTGCATGATCGCCTCGGCATTGCGACGGCCCAGCGACAGGAGCAGGTAGAATGGATCGATGCCCAGCGGCCGTGTGTAGAAAGCCATCAGGTACAGGCAGACGAAGAAGATCTCGTTGCCGGCACAGAAGATGAAGAGCGTGCGCTGCAAGATAAAAGCAAGGCGGTTGGTTTTCGCTTTGACTCAGCATCCGAGCGCCAGAGAGCAATTTTCGCTCGTCTGCTAGATCCACAAGGAACTCACGCTATCGTTGTAGTAGTACCACAGCCATTTGGATACTTCCTTCGATACGGTCTTGTGCGACTTGGAGCCCATCACAAGCGAGCTGCAAGCAGAGCCCGTGTCGTGAGAGGAAGAAGTGAGAAACAGATGCTCTAGACATGGTCAAGCGATGCTAGAGGATGACTCACCTGTACATGTGAATGTAGTGACTCGCGAAATCCAGCGTGATGAGCCCTTGGAAGATGATCGCGGCGCGGGGGTACGCAGCAGTTAGGAAGCAGAGCAAGCATGCTGTCGTGCATCTTTGAGAAGTAAATGCATTTTAGGTGGGGTCAGGAGAGGGGGTATGTCAGCCTGCATTTCACTGGAAGAGCGACAGCCTTGCCGGCGCAATGCCAGTGAAAACCGGAAAAACGCACCGATCTGTGACCATGTCCAAGACGGCGCCAAACTTGGTGCTCTGGCCCAGCGCGCGCGCGGCCATGCCGTCGAATGCATCAAGCAGACACGAGATGCAGTAGAGCACTGTGCAGTTCTTTGGGTTTCCCTCCATAAAGTATAGGGAGAGCGCCGCGAGGATGATGCGCGAGTAGCCTGCGAAAGGATGTTGAAGTGTCAGCGGTTGAGCCTTATCTGAGAACAAAGAGGAACCGGCGCGAGGCGCGCAACTCACCGATCAGATTAGGCACAAAGAGAAAGACATTCTCTTGCATCTCCTCCTTACCCGCCTTGACCCAGTTGATGAACTTTCCATTGGCATTGCGCTTGTCATTTCCTTTCTCTTTGCTCTTCTCCTTGCCTCTCCCGCCGGAGTTGTCCGCATCCAGAGCGTTCTCGCTGTCGTCTCCGTAGCCTTGATCACCATTATCGGCATCCTGGTTGTCGTCTGTTTCCTCGCCATCATCCTCTCCAACGCCACCGCTGCTCCCCGACTTGGTCCGCCGACGGCGTGCAGCGCTGCGCGAGGAGCGCGACCGCCGTGGAGACGAGGGTGATGCTGCAAGTGCAGGCAAGCTGGCGGCGGCTGCCGCGCGTGTCGAGCGTGCCATTGCGTTGCTGTTGCTGCGGCTATTGACTATCGCTTTGCCGCTTGGTCGGTGTTCAGAATCGAGTCGTGTCGGGCTACTATTGACGGCCTGAATTTGCACCTGCGAATCGTAATGCGGGAAGCGAGGGCCAGTTGCCAATGAACGTGAACCCAGGATAGCCTGGCCGACGCTGATCGGCAGCGCCGCTGAAGAATCCGTCGTGAGAGCCGCAAACGAGCATCGAGCACCCGCCAGAACTTCACGTCCAGTGGATGCTTCACGTTGGTGCTCCAGTCCTCTTCCAGACGTGCCCCTGCGAATATGTATAGATGGTTGGATGGACGATCTGTCGATGGATGGGGTGGATGGGATGGATTGACTAGGCCATGCGGGAAGGATGCCCGACCCGATGCATACGACGGCGATAGCAGTGGCCATCTTCCTCCGACCGAACACTGGTGTAATGCACTGCTTCTGCTCGGCCCCAAAATGAAATGGACCCCGCGGATTTCTTTCTTTCATTTTTGGATCCTGCTCATAATCAAGATATGTCGGATAAAGAAAGAAAGGACTAGCTGAGACAGACGCGTACAAAAGCAACACAATTGATGGATGATACACAGTCGTGAGGGGCTGAGGTTGCCTTTCTCCCCAGTCCAAGCTCATACAGTCGACGGCGCTCCGAAGAGTTGCCGGCGCAGACGCAGACTGTAACAGGAATCGACTCGATACAGGGCCAAACGACTGCCGCCTGGCGCCCGTTCGATAGTGCGCCGCAGCATCGCGTGCGAGACCCGAGCGAACGAACGAACGAACGAAAGAACCAGCCTACCACGTGCCGTCTCGTCGCAAACAGCATATCTCTGGCAAGCCTGGAAGCCAGAGATCTGCAAGAGGACGAAGCGTGCCCCTCTTGCGCACGGTAGCGTAACCTGCTGTCAGAGCAGAGCCAGCATCTGCCAGTGGTGAAGGAAGGCAGTGTGCGCGGGCGCTTTTGTCGTAGGGGGTGCGCCCTGACCAGCATCCCACAGCAGCCATGCCGACCGAATTCGACGATGTCCTCACCAACCAACCGGTCGTGATAGATAATGTGAGTGCGTCGTATCGCATGTGGGAGCCCCATGCTGTGTATCAATGCATACTTCGAACGTTTGGCACGGCGGCTGACACCGGCTTGCTTTCGCTCTTGGCAACGCAACCACTAGGGCTCGGGGACAATCAAGGCAGGGTTCGCAGGGCAAGACCAGCCAACATGCTTCTTTCCGTCGTTGTGAGCTCTCATGGTGGACTCATCTAGGCAATGACAAGCAAGCAAGTTGACCACTGCCTCCACGTCCAGCGTCGGCCGGCCAAAGCATCCGCGCGTGATGGCCGGCGCGGTCGAGGGCGACATCTTTATCGGGCGAAAAGCGCAAGAGCTGCGCGGCCTGCTCAAGATCCGCTACCCGATGGAGCACGGTATTGTCACTGACTGGGAGGATATGGAACGTGTCTGGTCGCACGTGTATGCCGAAGAGCTCAAGACGCTCAGCGAGGAGCACCCCGTGCTGCTCACCGAGGCGCCGCTAAACCCGCGCACCAACCGCGAGGTCGCCGCGCAGATCTTCTTTGAGACGTTCAACGTGCCTGCACTCTTTACGAGCATACAGGCTGTGCTTTCCCTGTGCGTTCTCAATTCGCTTTGCTCGGAGTCATCACGATTCCGCCGCAGTCCTCCTGGCGCCTTTCATTGGCCCCTGCTGAAGCCCTCTCCTTTTCTGCCTTTGCAGCTATGCATCGGGGCGGACGACAGGACTGGTGTTGGACTCGGGTGATGGCGTGACGCATGCTGTGCCCGTCTTTGAAGGGTTCTCGATGCCGCACGCGGTGCGACGAATAGACGTCGCGGGGTGGGACGTGACGGAGAACTTGCAGGCGCAGCTGCGCAAGGCGGGTTACCACCTTCACACGACGGCGGAGAAGGAGGTAGTGCGGATGATGAAGGAAAAGTGCTGCTACATCGCAACGAACCCGGCCAAGGAGGAGGCGAACGTATCTGCGAGCCACGACGCTGAGGAGTTCAAGTTGCCCGACGGGAACAGCGTCAAACTCGGGCCAGAACGGTTCCGCGCGCCCGAGATCCTCTTCAACCCGGACCTAGTCGGGCTGGAGTACCCTGGCGTGCAGCACGTCGTCGTCGACGCGATCCGGCGCGTCGACCTTGACCTGCGCAAGGACCTCTTCAGCAACATTGTCCTCTCCGGCGGCACTACTCTCACGCGTGGCTTTGGCGATCGCATCCTCGGCGAGGTCAAGAACCTCGTCAGCAGAGAGACCAAGATAAAGATCTTTGCGCCTCCAGAGAGGAAGTACAGCACGTGGATCGGCGGCAGCATCTTAGCAGGCTTGAGCACATTTCGCAAGGTGCACACGCATGCTCCTTTCTGTTTCTACTCCTCGCTGACTCTTGCGACTGCCTCTTTCCTTTCTAAATCTACGGCGCGTTGTACCACCCAACCTAGATGTGGGTCTCGTCTGAAGAGTACTCTGAAGACCCAGGGATTATTCACAGGAAGGTGCGCCTGTGTGGTTGCACGATGTGCACTTTTGACATACCAAGGCTGACTCTGCCGAGACCACCCTCCGTTCCCTTGGCTCGCCATTGCAGACATTCTAGTCTCGTACGGCCTGCACAACGCACGTGTAGTACACTGCGCAGCAGGCAGCATATAGCATGGAGTAGCATGTGTAGCGTCGGCCCTCGTTCTTGATTAGGGCCGTCGGGTACGCCGTGCGCCGTGCACGTGTATGTATTTGCCAGCAACGATGGGCATGAGTCGCGACAGCATGACCCTGCTCGAGAGCATCTCCAGCAGTGTCCCTTTGGGACATGTGCTGGCAGGCGATAATCGGTCGCATGTACTCGCGTCTCAGCGGACGGGTGCATTGGTGACTGCATTATGGCTATGGGTTCCAACGACAGAACATGCATGCCATTGTGCGCCTTGCGCGTCTGTCCATGCGCTCGGTCTAAAACGCCCAGCCATGAATGATTGCTTCAAGCAGAAGAGGAAGTTTCTCTTCTACACTATTCGCTCATCATCACGTAGAGGATTCTCACTTGACTTGCGCCCAGACCGGATGGCCTGTGTGATGTCCACTTCTTCGTACCTTCTTCTGTTGCGCCGCCAGCGCAGTTGGCGTTGCACAGCAAACTGTTCTCTCTCTCTCGTTGTCTTAAAGCCGACCTAGTCATTGTTCAGAGGGTACTGCGCACTGAAGAGGTGGGAATGTAGACTTTTCACACCGTACAGTCTATTGGTGTGCTCTCACGGCGTACATGGTTGACGATTGTGCAATATTATATATATATAATGCATCTTCGATCCTGGTTGTCGAGGACAAAGCGTGCCCGACAACTGAAAGTGAGCCGCCGTCTCAACATACCTGCAATAGCACGCGAGCAACGAGCAGAGGCACCACGTCTTCTTCTCATCCTATGCTGCAACCACCCCTGAGCGAGTTCCTCTTGTCGCTCATCGTACCAAGGCGTGTAAGTCCCAGAGACAATGATATTGCAACCCAGTTTGCCAAGGTGTACGAGACCCCCGGTGTGAGCATAGCTGAGGGAATACTCGTTGATGATGAATCTGCCGCCCCTGGTCGAAGCGACGCCGTTGGGCAGCAGATCCAACTTGCCTGCTCTGAGCAAGCCGACCACGAGCGAGACGCTTTTCCAAGCGGCGTCCATCTCCAAGGCCGCGCTGTCATTGGCAGTTTCTGCTGTCCTACCAGGATGGAATCCTCGGCTCTCTGGACGATCCCATCACCTATTTTTCGGCTTCGACCGTGGACCTGCTAGTCAAATCTGCTATCCAGGCGAACTCTACAATGCCGCTAGCACTCGTAAAGGGCGACTGGAGTGTGTGTGACGATTGTGTATCTACAGGCTCACACAGGTGGGGACG